TTGAGCGACTCCTGTCGTGGTCGCGCGATCGTAAAGTCTGAACGCGGTCTGGCGGATGTTCTAAGTGAGCGCAGTAAGTATTTGAATTCACCATTCTCGATTCCCATCCGTATTTCGTTGTTCTTTAGGATTAAGCTATCATCACGCTTTTTATTTTTGTCATTTACCTATCCCTTTTCTTAACTTATAGATAGAATTTCAGCGCAGAAGTACAATGAAAGCAGAACTGATGGCGGAGGAGGATCTGTCAGTCGATTTAAGCTGGTTCGTAATGTCGAGAAGAGTCCGAAGCAGCCAGGCCGTCCTGGTAATTCAGCAACTGGCTCTGGTGGGGATCGACTGCGTCCCTCTTCCATATTTCGTAAAAGGAGCTCAGGCAGCATAGCTAGTGCAGCAGCTGTAAAAAGGGCCACGAAACTGGTTCGCGCGAAACGCTCCACCAGTCGGGAAGACATTTCTAGCTCGGACACAAGTGTAAGCTTCAATTCGCCTGCTTATATTTGTTTCTGAAAAGTGAGGTTTACAGGATAGTGGCTTCAAATTCAAACCTTCTCCCAGCACTTCTCAACCGTGCTCAGAATCTGTCATGGTGTCTCCGCCAAATTTCAGAGCCACTTCGTACGCTGCTGAATCAAAAACGGCCACTCGAGACGAGGCTGTTCTTTTGAGGTTTCTTATCGTTCCACTGACTTTTTTTTGTTGTGAATTTGACTATGAACATGTAAGACTCGGAAATCGTCTGTTTCAATTTCCTCTGTCTAATCTCGTATGCTCGATGTTCAGGTCCCTTCTGGCACTCATTGGGAAACACTGTCCGACCGAATTCGACAGATACCAAGTGCTGGAGGAAAGAGATAAGCTGCTGTCTAAACTGAGAGATGTGTGTCAAGTTCATAGTTATTATTATTATGCTGTAATAGCCAGTGCTGTTCGGCTTAGTGGGGTCTGCCTTTAGCAATTTCTTCAGCTAGTTGCTCTAAACTTACTCGTCTCTCCTTGGTGAGGCTTGTAGACTCTTGGTGGAGAAGCTCACGCTATTGCACCCTAACAGGAATTTCCAGTTCTGCTTAGGTGGCATCCAGTGCTCGATGGGAATTAGTAAAAATGCCCGACCAACCGAACGCACCGCCTGCGACCTTATATCACCGCATCTCTTATAATTTCGCTTCGTCGTCTCTATCTCCATGTCCTATATTTTTTGTTTGTGTTATTCTTGTCAAAGATTGTGTCTGATTCCGGACTTTCGTTCGAACCATGAACGAAGCGAACTTGGAGCACGTCCGGGTCAAGGTTGCGGGCCATGGGTAGCGGCATAGGGACACACGAAATCAAAAGCGACATTGATACTATGGGAAGCCCCGCACCACATTTGGGCGGCGGCCACATTCGCCGATAAAGTTGGGGCTCCGCAGAAAAGTAATCATAATTCGCTTCGGAAGCAGCGTAAAGATGGGGAAAAAGGGATTAAGGTTAGTAAGGAGTCGCCAGACTAACTGTGGAAGACACGTCCAAAATGGGCGGGGCGTACTCATGGTGGGCGGTGCTTCTCGCAAAATTCAGTAACCCTGTTCGCGAGAGTGTTTGGAAGTCGCAAAAAACTCAGTGTAGAATGTAAATATCTGGCGAATATAGGGCACGCTCAAAGTGTGTTGAGACCCGCCCACAGTGGGCGGAGCTTGCCCTTAATCGCAGGGTATTCATTTCAAAAGTTTGTAGCTCGGTTCCAGAA